CACAGTACCTTGCCGAGTGTCTAGTTGCCTCCTTTTGTCAGCCGCGACCCAGTTCTTTGCCTTCATTTTGAATCTCGCATCTGACTCCGGTGCCGGGCCTTGTTCGTCTTGAGCCGCTGGCCGTCAGGACTCAGAAGTCAGAAACCACTCAGCTTGCACCATCGACAAGCCTTGCCGGATCCTACCCCGGCCTCATCGGTCAAGGGCCTGCTATCCGTATATGGCTTGCTTCAGGTCGTCACCTGAAGAATCGTCTTCTCACCCCGGCGAGGCAGGCAATGCCTGTCATGATCCGCCCTCATTTCCAACCGGATCCATTGACCGCCGCTCTCGCCTGACCTGACAGCGGGCTTTGCCGTCATTGCAGCAAACAGCGCAGCATGCCTTGCCCGGTGTGTTTCTTCTCGCCGTGAAATTGTGGCCTGAGCACGCGGTGCGACTGGCACACGAGGCCTGCTACCGACCACTGGATTCCAGGTTCACCTCACCGCGTTACCTTGGATGGGTATCAAGTTGGGAAATACAACGGTGATAACTGCAGCTCGGTTGCGAGTTGCGAGATGCGACTCTCAAGTCCCTACCAGACCGTGCCTCTTCCGTTGCCATGCTTCATACGCTGCCTGCCTGGACTCTGACCAGCTCGGGGGCCAGCCCCGGGACGTTGGCGGTTCTCCTCCCGCAGAGTTCTTCCCAGTCCACAGTCGCAACTGACTCGTTGTTTACGCGACCCTCCGCTAGCGGTGTCGCAGTGTCTCAACGAGAGTGAGAGATGGTTTCCACAGTATCACTGCTAGGGAATGGCGCTGCAGGCCGAGATGCACTAGTGGAAGCCCAAACACTTCTGCTTGGGAAGCAGGAATCCACCCCATGGGTCTCCGCCTCTGCGACACTATGTACACAGGTTGATGATCTCTTTGAGAAACAGCCCAGGGCCGGCGGCGTATGCCAAAAAACGAGGCGGTTCAGCGGCACAATTACACTCTTCTGTCTCAGACGCCCTGCCCAAGGGCGGCTGCTTCCAGTACACCACGGGCGCTACAGGCCGGAGGGTGAGCCTTGTCTAACGCGGCCGATGTATCATCAATGGAACCCGAAAGATACAAAGACCCCGCACTCCCACGCCAGTCCCTACTGTATTCCCTGACTTGCGACTCCATACTGGGACTAAGACGCTGTCAATGGCAACTCTCGCAAGTATCGGGCCGGCAAGTGCGCAAGTCATTAGTGCCAAGAGACGTCTGGCACTGATTCCCGACTCGGCAGGCAGCGCATTCAATGGACTTTGTTAGTCGCCTCGCTCAAGTGGGCTACGGATACTAACGCAGCGTATCCTCACTATCGTAGCGAGGCTTCAACGGAGTTCCGGTGGCTAATCGTTCACGTGGGCCTGATACTCGTAATAAACGCCATTGACAAAGAGCCAATATGATAATCTGCACAGCACAATCTCCAGAGGCACCCAGATAGCAGAGAAATAGCTCCACGGCCGAGTCAAACACACATTTGAATAGACGCAGGGGAACTCAGCGGGCTCAAGACATCCGCAACGGTACATACGGCCATCGCAGACAGCGCGAAGTAACGCTGAGAGACTGCTGTCGAGGTGACCCACGACGAAGACACAAGGGATAATGGGATGGGATGGTGTTCGAGGAGGCTGGGGGAGGAGGATCCCTAACCCAGAGGCACCCTCGCTGCTTCTTTCACTGGCCAGTAGCCTGAAAGGGTCCTCCGTCCCCCGCACAATAGCTCCTAGCCAGGAACGAGCGTTCTAGCCCGGGTCCGGACCTGTGAGGCGCGCAAGCCAGGGCCAGCCTGAGGAGGGGGCAGCCAGCTTTTGGTGACTTTGCGCCCTTGAGCTTGAGGGACTTGGTTGCCCTTACATTTTACTGCGACACTGTTATCAACGGAAAATACATCATGACCGCCTCGCGGCTACGTACAATACAACTCTACACCGAGCTAGTTCATACGCGGATCGATGGGGGCCACATCTCATCACATCGTTCGGCAGCTGACCGATCATGAACATCAACTTTGCCCGCCTATGCCAAATTTTACAGTTGCATTGGGCTATCGACTGCTTGGCAGGTCGATCAGGCGCACGCTTGCTGGGCAAATTCGCGTCGATTCTCGCGGATAAAGTCAAGACTAAGGTTCGGGACAGCATGTCCAGACTGGACAGTTATTTGAAAAGGCCCACATTAAACAAGTATGGCGTCAACCGTGTATGAGACGAGTTGCGCGGGGGTGTGAAAGGGATCCTGGACGAGAGCTTCTGGCGCATTGATCAAGTATGAGGATCCGGGATCAGTCTTGCCGGACGGCAGGGAGATCGTCTTGAGCCTCAACTTGGTTTCGACGATGAAGCCCCCAAGGTTACTGTTGATGCTGCGGCCAGGCCACGGCGCGGTTAAATCAGAATGGATGGAGATGCCCACGGTTTCAGCTCCAAGAATATGAGCCGCGCCCCAAGGCTGCCAAGAAATGGAGGCCACAAAAACTGAGTCGAGATGGATAAATTATTCGGGAGACACAGACACGGTACCGTTCGGATACACAATCGCTCAAGTACGGAGTACACTGCTACACTGGTACAGTACAAAGCTTCACGGAACCAAATTCAAATTGGCCACAGTGGCCCCAGCTGTCAAGTGGAAATCAAACGCGGATCACCCAGTGGTCAGGGAGTTGACGTGTGTTGTATCCGTAAAGATTGAAACATCTTCAACGGCGGGCAAGCACCCACTCTGGCCGGATGCGTTCCGCGGGGGCTTTCTCGCCTCTGGACCTCGTACATTCGGTTATACGCAGTACCGACATGGATAACGCCATTATCGCAAGTCCCAGTCGCACGAGAATGTGTTGTAGGTGGGAGAGATCCTACTTCATACCCAATGGCTGCCAAACGGGCCGGCACAACTGCACAATGGCAACCCAGTGCTTGATTTTGACTACCCACGAGGCGCGCTAGCGGAATCCAAATAAGAAGGCGCTTGTATTGACATGATCAACGTCAACGTCGTCTTGCAGAGGCGGGGCCAAGGTGATATGGAGGTCGATAAGATTGCGTTCAGTGGAATACGGCTATATCACGTCGCGATTATTAATTCACGTCCGATAACTACAGCCTCCATCTTTTAACTGCAGGGGGAGGGGGTGTTGAGATATATCGGGTGCCGAGTCGTCATGAGACACTATTGAACCCCCCACTCTGAAATTTACGCCATCTAGAGAAGAATTGCTCACAATTTGGACTCTTTGGAGACTTGGAGTCCATGTCGACGCTGAACAGTACGGATACAGCATCAGACCTATCGGAGAAAAGACGAAGGCAAATGCAACTCACTGTCTTTGCTACCAGGAGAAACCTCGTTAGCTATCCTACGCTTGACGAGCAAGTACAACGGTTCCCGGTCACGTCCCGCAGGCGTTCGCAGCAGGGCAAAGCGGGGGCAGGCCATAGTATCAACGTGGAGAAGGAGGCATGACTGTCCGGCCATGTCATTTTGGATGGCAACTGCCGACTTATCGACAATGCTGCAAAGTCTGGGATATTCCAGGGCGCATCCCATTCAAGATGTAGTTGCAGTTGTCGCTTGCAGATGCCCATTGTACGAGGCTGAGGACTGACTTCACAAAAAAGGGGGGGGGGGGTTCTTGCACCAGCATCAGGAACGACACGCTACCCTTGGCCTTGGATATCAACACGCTGGAATATGTCTGGCAGCGTTATACCAAGGGTTTGCAGGAACTCTCTTTCTTGGATGTAAAACCGACAGCTTGCGAACGAGACCGACTGACCAGAAAGACTCATCCCGCGCCCGAAATAAGGAGTCAAAGCGCTGGACTGGGCGGGTCGGTCAAGAGAGCCCATCTCCTTTCCCTCTCCGGCTGATTACTACGAAAGGCATTGTTACCGCGAAAGGGGGTTCGTCTTCCCCGAGGCCTCTCAATCTCGCATTAGTTACGACGGATGATGATTTCTGCAAGTCAAATCGCAAGGGGAAATATGACAAACTTTCTGGTGCGATGGGGTTCCAAGAGCATGGAACAGTGGTCCTATCGACCATGCAACAGTCCGTCACTTGATCGGAATGCACGTCGAACAATCTGGCAGGAAAGGTGCATCGGTCGGCCGAGGAGACCATTCGGGGGGTTCGTTGACTGGGCCAGCATGCACGTGAACCATGACCCGTACAATTGCGATGCTGCTTTGCGGCGCCCGGCATGGCGAATCTGTGGCGCTGCGCCGGAGATCTTTCCCAACAACTCACGACTTGTCACAATGGTCTGTCAGGTCAGAATAATGGCCTTGTTCGCTGCGTGACGCTTGAGCACCCCCGGCCGCATGTGCCACGGCACCCGTCGTCTGATGTGTCGGTCGAGTCAACATGAGATTTAAATCCAGCGGCATCCTTCCAGGACCTATGGATTCGCGAGGCAGTGAGTGAGTGGACATGACGGATCGATGTTGGTTCCTGACGGCGGACACTGCACTGACTGCTATGTGTGGTGTTTGCAGGCAGCCTGGTGATCTGTCCCCCGAGTCCCGAACGGACGTTGTGGGACGATGGTGGATTCTCTTTGTGACCGGACATCGACCAGTCACTTTGTCAATGTACGTTGATGTCATGTCTAGACACGAACGATGCCTGTCGCGCTGTGTCCTCCTTGCCTCCGAGGGAAAGGGAAAGAAAGAAAAAGGCTTCATCCTTACAAACGAACACTGGGTCCGGATGCCGCCCGCTGGTGGCCGCGGAGGGCTGGGCTCCAAGAGAGTTTGTGTGTGCAGGCTCCGGAACAGCATCGAATGAGCCGAACGTCCAACGTTGAATTTTGACCGTCGAAACAGGGTCGCGAGCAGGATATGGCTGCGACTTGGTCTCTTTGACTACTGCAGCTTCCTCCGCATTCCGCTAGCCAGCTTGCGCGGGCTTTTCTTCCTTACTCAGTATCCTTGAGGACTTGTCCCGGTAGCGTCGTTGATCGACGCCTGCATGCCGCCGCCGACTAGTCCCCTTTTTGCCCATCTTTTGCCCAAGAACGGGTGCGATGAATACTGTCTCGGCGGCGCGGAATGGTCAACTACTGTCCCCGCGAACCGCGAAAGCGATGCCATTGGTCCGCTCACACACAACCTCTTGCAACACCAGATATGAGAGAGGAAGCAGTTATTGATGGAGGCATCTTCAAAGAAACCCATCCGCCTGCTCGACTCATAACAAGACATGAGTGAGAATCTCCTTGCATCATTCATCATTAGATCATTCTCATTTTTTTCCTGGTCAGGTCCATGCAGGTTCAAATTACGAAAAGCATGCAAAGAGGTCTGTCCCTTTGCAGATCAAGCATGCGCGCACGGTAGGTATCACGTCCGGTTGCATCTTTTTGGGGGGGCCTCGCCTCCTCCTCTCAAATAATTGCTTCTTCTTTAGACTGCTTTCTTTGGACCGGCAGATGAGCGTCCGGAATACCTTGGAGGAGCAGCAAGATTGCTGAAACAGAGAGATGACAGATTCCTCAGCACCCCGTCGACATCATCCCCCGATCCAGGATTTGCTGCACAAGCCGATGGTTGCATAGTCCGCCAGTTCCTAGTCTTTGCTCGTACTCGGCGATGCTATCGAAATTTCTCCGCTCTCTTCCACTAGGTTCTACGGTATGTTATGCCATCGAACGGAGTAATCGATATTCACCGAGCCGGGTGTCGCACGATCTATTCTTTCATGCTTCGCTGTTATCTTGGCGCAAACGAAGCAGGCTCACCAGATGAAAGTGTGTCTGTGAGACATCGATACGGGTAGAAGCAAGATCTCTCTCCATGTATCCGAGAGCGACGGGAAGCAACGTGGCCCACGACTGGGTCGCGCTGACAACGTCAGGACAACGGTTCAAATGGGAACCGTTCGTCGAAAGGTGTTGTTGTTTATGCCTTCTTGTCCAGATGAACAGATGGAAACAAAACAAACAGAGCAAGAACAACACACAGAACAGGTGCGGTTTACGAAGGACGGAAGCCAGATCCCAGAGGTCAGTGGGCAACACGTTTTTTCCTGGGGGAAACTCTCGGGTGTTAGTCTGAACCCTTTTTTGCTCTATCTCTTCACACCTTCATGGTGTTAGTGCTGGCGATGCCGTGCCCTAGGTCCCGGGACCGCTCGCTCGGGGGGAAGACCGTTGGCTGCGAACGAACGCCGTCTGTTCGCGCCATGCTAGATGGTGGTGTTCACCGTGGTGCCGGTGTTGAACACTTGTCCGTGAGTGTGTGTGTGTGTGTGTGCGCGTGTGTGTCTGTGGTTGCCTGACGGCGATGACAAAAGGGACGTACGTTGGGGAAAGGGCTGCTTCGACGGCGATGATGATGACGACTACTACTACCCTACTACTACGTACGACGAAGGACGATAATGACCGTGATTCCGGCCGGCCGTGGGTTTGCCTTGATGGTGTGGCGTCACGGACAAATTTACGGTTTACTTTTCCAACGCACAGAACAGAAAGAAACGCCTCTTGCCCGTGGTCAACGACAAACGCCGTGTATCTTGCCGTTCTTCGTTCTCCCCGTCTTAGATCTGGGGAAGTCCATGTGGCAGTGTCTGTTCGAACAACTTCCAGTTTCCTCTTATCCCGTCCGTCCCCCGCGCGCGCGAGCGCGAGCGCGAACATGGCGTTCGAGTGAGCGGGTGCGCTCGTTCCTAGTGTTCGCGTTGATAAAAAAAAAAAAGGGCGCGAAGAAAAGAAGAAACGAACCGAAGGAACGAGCCGCATGGGGCGGGCTCAGACCAGAGAGGGTATTTTCGCTCTCAGACTCAAAAACCAGGAACGCAACACGAACAAGAGATGGATCTCCCGCCCTCTTCTTTTTTGTGTGTTGGCAAAGATCTGGCTTGCCGCTAGGCTGGGGCTGTTCCGCTCTACTGCACGTACTACTTTGTACGTGCGGCCAAGGTGTGTTAGGTACCGTACGTGCGTGTGGCGCGATGTAGGTGGCTCTGACGCCAAAAATATAACCTGACTTCACACACCTACCTACCTACTTGACTTGATGAAGTAAGCATCAAGTGAGTTGAAAAGCTGATCACCTCACACACATATAGGTAAAGAGGACTGAGCGTTGAGATTTGGGAGACGTTGGGGCACGGATTACGTGGGCTTCCATCACCTTCCTACTCGACCGCGAAGGGAAACCAACGGACAACATAACGAATCACTCCCACACGCCCACGACTCCCTCACTCCCATATCAGCCCGTTCTTGACAGCATCAAAGCAATGACCTTGCGTTCGTTGAACGACATACGCAGCAGCAGCAGCGCGCGGCCCTTGTGTGTTCTTCGTAACTCGGTTCGCTTTCGGTCGTCCCATCAACGGGCATTCAACAGTAAAACTATATCGGTCTTTTGTTAGCATCTAAGTTGACGAACGCCTCGCTTTCTCGGCTCTATCTATTTGCCTCTTTCTCTCTCTTCGTCTCTTCCCGCCGGTTCTGCCGCGCCGTTATCTTCTCCGTGCTCGTTCTTAGTTTGCCCGGACCGCGGAGTACCGTGCCATCGTTTTTCCCTCCGTGCTCCTCCTCTTCCTCCTGCTCCTTCTCGTTTTCTGTTCTCTCACCCATCTCTTCACATTGCCAACAATGTCTGTTCCTTTCGTAAACTCTGTGCTTCCCAAGTTACCTAGTTTCCATGGATATTCGATGGGATCTTCTTCCTTACTCTACTGTCTTTCCCCAACTTCCCTTCCGTGCTCCGTAAAGTCCGTTCGTATTGTCTCTATACACGCCCCCCCCCCCCCTTCCGTCCCTCCCTGCGGTCAAATTTCCAACATTTCAGCTCGCAACGTTCCTGATCTTCACCTCTATAGTTTTGTCGATTACATTGATCTACCCAAAAGGGAAGTATCTTGCTCGGTCCTTCTGGGCCTGGAAACCCCAAGGGCACCAAGAAAACCAGCTGTCAATATCAGAAACAAAAACGGGCAAAACCAAATACAGCAGAACCAAGTAAGCACCAAACTTTATCAAACACTCACGATATACGTTTTTTTCCGGTGGTTCTAGTCCCAAAGACCGGATCCAAACTCTCTTCGTTGTTGTCTCTCCTTCTTTTCCCCCCCACCTGGACTACCGGTAGATCATCAATGCCATTGTCAAGTTTCTGGCCCTGCGCCTTATCCAAACGTCGTACCACCTTACGATAGTTCCAAAAAAGCTTAGCCATGAAATGCACCATGTAAATCTCTCATCACGAAACCCCCAGATCCTTTACTCTCCCCCCATGTCCAGTCTTTCTCCCAAACAGGCAGTGATCTTTCGCTCTTTCCCTCTCTCCCCCTCACTTGGACCCCTTTCTCTGCCTATCCCCCACACATTGAAATACTCCGAGGGAAAAATATGAATCGCCAAAGTCGCGAAAAAGTGAGGCTGGTAGAAGAATTACGGTATTACGGTATTACGATATTACCTAAACCCCACGCTCGACCAAACTTCAGGCCCTGCCCTTTTTTTTTTCGTTTTGTGCCAAGCCCGAAGATCCGCTGGGACGTCCCTTTTTACGTTACCGTACACATCTGCTCTCCCCCACGCATGCGGGAGACCGCGCGGGCGACTGCGGGCGAACGCGGGTCGACGGGGGCACGAGCGCCGAAGGGGGGCGCGGGCAAAGGGGACCCTCATCGGAGTGGGTTCCCGCCCGGATATCTCACAGTGGGGTGGGGGAGGCGTCGGTCACGATGATGGAAGAAAAAAACATTGCGGTAAGGGTGATTAAGTTTAGATAAGTTTGGAAAAGATTGGTATTCGTAAAGATTGACAGCGACGATGATGAATCGGGTATAGATGGTGACCAAATCGCCTGCTAGGATTATGACGAAATACTCCGAACAATTCATCCAGAAATGCCGTAATCCTTACCATTAGTACCCACGACACATCACATCACGAGAAAGAAAGATTGACACAAAAAGTATATCTTGTACCCTTCGACCTGGATGGTCCCCTTTCCTGGGAAATTCTGGCAGGGTCTTGCCGGCGGCAGAAGATCGTGAGACGACACCAAGTGGTTCCTCCTCTAGGCTTGACCATTTCCCCTTATTTTTGCACCTGTGCGTAGGAGAGAGAGCGCGAGCGGGCGCTCTCGCGCGGAATTTGACCACACACACGACTAACTAACACGACGCCCCCCTTCTTAGCAGCTATTTTGTATACCATGTCCCCTATTAGAAGGCCACAATAGCGAAGCTACGGGAAAACGGGCGTGACCAAAACGCTCAGACGGTGGAGATTGTGAAAGGAAAGCTCCGTGGCTCCGTACGGAGCGGACGGGCTGAGGTACCTCAGAAGGGAAAGGAGGAAAACGTGGGAAAACGTGGATGCATATCGGCCGACCGCAACGTTTAGCTCGACCGACGGAGATGGATGGATGGATGGGGGCCGCGGGCGATGGAGATGAAGATGGAGATAATCGACAGCTAGAACAAAAATAGGGGCCGGGGGTGTGGAATCGTGACTAACGGCGATGTTGCCATCAATGGCAAAGGCCAGAATAGGCAAATTTTTCGAGTTGAGAAAATTGCCTTCTTGAATCGTGAGCGTGACCTTTTCCAACGTCACCGGAGCCGCGCGACGTTGCAAATCTCCCCAACTTCTGCCCAGCTCCGCCTACCGGAAGAACCGGCCGAGCGGCGATTGTCGTTGCACGACTCAAGTTGTCGCCTCCCTCATCCGAAGCTATTGTCGAAGCTGACTCCGCAAAACCCGCAAGGCGCAGTAATATTACTGATAACTCAAATCTTGTTAGTAGTCTTTTTCTTTTCTTCCTGGTGTTCTGGACCCGCCGTTCCTCTCTCCAAACATCCGATGTGTGAGCATCGAGGCCTGCGACTCCTACTACTCCTCCCTCTCACCTTTGGTACGGGGAGGCTGGACTTGCATACTCAACCAAGTCAGACCCCCCGGCTTACAGCTGGTCATGGGTGATCCTCATCATGCTGCCTCTTTGTTTTGCTGTTTGCGAAAAAGATGAGAGCTGAGGAAAAACAACAACGACAACCGGCAACACGAGGCAGGATGGTTTCACCAGCCGTCATTGTCTGTGCTTGTTCATCCAGCTAGAGATACGCCCTCTTCGTGCCTTGATCTTCCATGATTAGCGTCGGTTGATATACTGGATGGTTCCTGGTACGTATCGCCAAGTGGTTGCTTTCCTTCTCCATTTTTAAACCTTTTTTCTCTCTGCACCCCTTGCTCTTCTCCTTGCTTATTCTCTTAGTGTCGATTAGGCAGTTTTCGCTAGGCCTTTTGGGAACAGCTTGGATACGTCCTATGAGGTCTCCCGAGTAGTGTGCAAGGCTACACGCCAAAGGGGGCCGCCGTCGGGTTTACGTGAGGGACACTAGAGCTCGCGTTAGCTCGTCCGACTAATGCCGCTGCACGAATTCGTCCGGTAGGTGCAGACCGCTCGGTCATGGTTCGTTTGGCAAAACCGCAACTTGGCTCCGTCGAGGCAGTCGAGGCAGCAAGCACCGGTGCCGATCTCCGGTGATAGGGATGAATTTGATAATGGGGGTAAGGGTTTGGCTCCCCCGAGCCAGAAGTCGTTACTAGCACTTGGTCTGGGCAAAAACGTAAGTGTGCTGACAGGAGCCGGACCGACATA